CTGCAGAAATTTAATACCGTTGCATGTGCTCTCAGCTCCCCTCTAGACCCTGGGCTGCTCTGTATGTGACTCATTCTGGGCAATACCTTTGGCAGTTTGTGGAGGTACCCACTGAAATGCACAATTTCATGGGAGCTTTCCATGCTATTGGGGTTCCTCTCACTCTCTTCTATTCGGAATGGTACCAGGGGCTATTGCCAGTGTAGTTAAACTATCCATCTTGCCAAGAGGAGAATGGGTTAGGCAGTGGGGAAATAAGAAGTATCGCTATTGTTCTGAGAGGTTCTTTATATATTTAAGTGGCTAATTTGGCTTTGGTAACTATAGACGTAGAGTATTGCACACAGAATTTTATGTAAATAATAGCATATTATATTATCAGCTACAAATAAAATTAGAAAAGAGTAGACTATTTACATGTGGTAACATTGAAAATCTTTCCTTTTCTCATGTACTGAGATGCACAGTGCATTCTCACAGATTCAGACCATTCATTTGTGTCTGGGTTGCTTAAAACAGCTCGCTATTTGCAGTGTTATCAGCCATTGAAGTCATCTGACTCCAGGAGCTTCAGAGGTTCAAGAGGCACTCTGTTCCACATGCCAAGCAAGGAGACAAAACTGGGACACAAGCAATGAAAAAGGCTGATTTTCCAGTTATTTTCATTGATAAAGGCATCTTTACTAAGCCAATCTGCATGGTCCTCTGTCATGACAATTTATACAGTGTCCTGACATTTTTTTGACTCTAGGAAGACATGGTCCATGCTTCTGATTCAGCTGAGAACACAAGGACTATAAAAACTGTGAACAGGCTGTTGTGGATATGGTTTTCTCTGTATTGTCTAGTTCTGAGACCAAGTTGGCAGTTGTTCCTCTTGCTAGTGATTCTGATTTTGCCATGGAGCAGACAATGAAAGCAGTGATGACACTATAAATTTGAGGAATATTACACTTAACTATTTCCTCTAAGAAAGAAAAGAAACCCAGGAAATTGCACTGGTTTAAATAAGCTGCTGTGACTGTACCTCTCCTGCTGCAATTGAGAGAGAGTGTATAAGCCCTATTGCTGTTTCAGCTGCTAGAACAGACAAAACCAAGAAATACAGGCAGGCACCTAACCCTCCTAGTAGTTCCTGCAGCGCAGTTCTGGCTAAGCGAACAGCTAAGAAGGCAAATATAATCAAGGCACCTTTATTTTTCTTGTTAACCTTTACCTTGGAAAATAGATGTGTCTGGCATTCTTTCCCTTGAGATTGCTGGTGATCTGCTAAGCAGCCAAAGTGGAGTGGCATGCATGACATGGCAGTAAAGACATCATGCTGTGTCCGTGAGGTTTGCTGTGTCGGATAGCACAAAACTCACAGCAGTCTCATAGCTTGCTAAAATGCAGTGTACAGTGCTTTGAAATGTGCCTTTCCTCTCCCTCTAGCTGGTTGGATCTCTCAAATAAAAGGGAGACTGTGCTCTGGAATAATCCGTCCTCCATTTAGTGGTGCAGTTTGCAACAGCTGAACCAGAGAAATTGGAATAAGACCTGAAGGTTCATTCAGTCCCTTATTCCAGGCTGGAGTGAGGTGGCTCCTGTTACTCCCCTCCCCCAGAAATGGATGCCACGGGTCAATGTGGCGTGATGGGTATGACTCACAAGTTAATTTACTTGCAACTGAGATCTCTCTCTCTAAGTGTGGAGAGCGGAAAATGTGCCACATTCACTTGATGTCTCTGATCAAGGCAGGAGAGACCAGACAGTAGCAAGCTGCTATCCACCGTCCCATGGAACAAGGTTCCTTGTTTGACAGGTCTGTCGAGCAAATCTTGCTGCAGGAAATCCTGCAAAGCACTACTGGCAAACCTACTCAGTCTTGCCAGATTTTTGTGACCTCTTTTCCTGAGACCTTGTGAGGCTCTGTGGTCCCCTGCCTTGATGCCTCAGGAGGCCATCCTGAGCCTGGGGGGGCCTCGCCATAGTGATTTCTACCAGAACTGAACAGCTTATTCTTGTTCCTGCCTGCTTTGTCCTCCTGACATTTTGTCTGGTGCTCTGCTGGGAAGGTCAGCCAGGCAGAACAGTTCTTGGGTGTATGGGAAGGAAGAGTTTATCCTTCAAGCTTTAATCCTTGATAAATAAGTTCTTTGGGGGGATTTTGCAGGAAAATGAAGGTTAGTGGCAAGTCTCCAAGCAGGCACTTATCAGAGTAGCACTGGAGGACAAGTTGATTAAACAGAATCACATGATGGAAAATAAACTGAGCACACGATGCCTCTAGTCTTATGCTCACTTAAGACATGAGGCTCATAACAGCCAGGAGCTTTTCAGTCCCTGAGCCAGGAAACAGGCGAATGTTGCACAGACAATGAGATCAAAGAGCCATTCCCACAAGTGGCAGCCAGCACTAAGCTCCTCTTTGCTATCTGGCCTAGCACAAGCTAGCATTGGCCTGGGGGATTGCTGGGCTAGAGGAAAGCCCTAGCTTTGGGGTAGTGCGGAGAGGACAGCCTGGAAGTGCCCAGGTGGGTAAACGAAGGAGTGCAGCTTCAACCCACAGTGCTTGGGTATGTGTGGTAGCAGCAGAGAACTGGCAAGTCACTGTTTGGTTTAACTGGAAGAAAACAGAATGCATTAGCACTGCTGCGTACCTTTAGTAAAAGGTGAATTAGGACCATGAGCTGGCACATCAGCACTTATTTCTCTCCATTGCCTCCCTCCTGCAGCAATCTGCTAGTTTCCATACCTTGGACGCCCTGCAGTTTGTAGCTGTAGCTCTGAGGCAGTGGGAGGACAAATTCTTCCATGTCCCTGTGGTTCCCAGTATTTGCTCAATGGTGACCATGTAAGACTGCAGCTAAACTCTTCTGTATGTACAGTGAACCTGAGCAGATGGGCTGAACAATCATCTTTTAGCATATTAAGCATAAGAAGCATATTAACTCAGATGGCTTATTTTGTCTCCATCTCCCACTTTCCTCCAGCACAGTGCCTAGAACATGCTGGCAGTAATGTTACCTTAGAGCTGGGGGTGAGGACACATGCTTTGTATTGTAGTGGTGTCACTGACCTGACAAACTCACGCACTTGAGCTGTAACTGTGATGCTATTGCTGTGTGCCATGAGGACAAGAGCTGTGGAAGGAGAGAAAAGGGTTCAGTGTTTCCTGGTCACAGACCAGGTCAGAATTATCCCCACTTGTTCTTGGTGTTTTACAGAGACTAGTGTTTTCCTCCTGTTCCCAGCATCTTTGGACAGTAGGGGAAGCAGGCTGTGTCTCAACATGAACAGCCCCTTCACAGATCACAACTTGGGCAGCGATAGGCCTGTGTGTTCAGTGAAGCTAAGCTTAGACACCAGAAACGATGTGCCTGGTCCTTAGTGTGGTGACATGAGGGGAATGGGTGAGATTAGAAGAGTTTAGTAGGCAGGAGAGGTTCTTCCAAGGATGGAGTGAGAGGAAAAACAGGTGCTTCTGTTTGAGCTGTTTTTTATGAGATCTTCACAGCTGGCTTGCAAGCACAATGTGGATCAGAGCTCACCTATTGCTGAGGCTCCCCTCACTCTAGCCAGGGCATTGAACTCTCCTTTGCATGCCGATCTGTGAGGTACATCCACGTACACCTTTGTTCTGAGCTCCACTGAAAGTGTCAAAGAGACTTTCGGTGTCTAAAGTGTTTTGTTAGAGCACAAAGTCACTTTTTAGAGAAAGAAAACTCAGCTGTGATGCGTAACAAAGGTAAACATAAATGATCTGGAAACAAAATTCCCCTCTTCCTGCACTTAAGCCAGTCATTTTTGGTGCCTGCCTACATGTCAGCAAACTCCTCTGGAAAGTCTCTCTCTTTCCCTCCTTGCCATCTCGCACATACGCTCTGTCTGTTCCTGTCTTTTCTGGGTCTTCCACTGCAATCCTGCCTCCAGCTCCCCCTCTCCGTCTCTCACTCTCTGCCTACTCCACTCTTCTGGCAGGAGGTATCTCCCAGCTGCTCTGTCCCGAAAGCAACTTTTGCTACCCAACACATATCTCCTTCCAGAAAATCCCGCACTGACAAAGCAGCAGTGAGTCCCTGCTGCCCAGCAGAGCTCACAAACACTGACATGTTCCACATCCACTCAGGAAATCAGTCTCTGCAGGGCAAATGGATACCCTCTGCTCTCAGCAGGTTTGAAATGTTCCCCCATATAGCAGAGAGGTCAGCTCAAGGGTTGCAAATATCCATCTGGTGTGATGAGTCTGTGCCATGCAGCTGAGCAGGCCAGGGCAGAGTGGGCCACCCAAGTTTGGTGTCACTGTAACTGTCCTGCAGCTCAAACACTGGTCGGAGCTACAGGCATGGCAGTGAATTTCTACCTGAAGAAAGACTGTGATGACACAAGTCAGTCATATTTTCAGCGCTGTCCCATCTATTTATGAAGAGAGCACGCAAAGTCCTGAACTCAATTGAAAGAAGTAGCAACAGACAGATCGCACTCAGTCATTTCTGTGCCTCAGCGTTTCTCTACTTCTTTGCTGTTCTCATGACTGCTTCTCCTCCTGTCTGTGCTCTTTCTTCACTTACTCCTTCTTCACTGGCTCTTTCTTCACACTGGCTTTCTCTCTCTCTCTCTCTCTGTCTCACACACACACACACACACACACACACAAAATTCACCAAACAAGCATATATCCTTGTGTGTATAGCCTGGGAACCTGCCTTACAAAGGCCTTAGTTTCTCTTCAGGCCTTACTGTATAGCTCACTGCCTTGGGCAATGACTGCTTTATTTTCAGCTGTCACTACAGCAAGGGTCATTTTCTCTTTCTACTGAGTCTGAAAGGAGAGTGCAGAAAGCCCACTGTGGCTTTTATTCCTGTGGTTGTGACCAGATCACAGGCCTGCCCAACAGGCCATGACATCTCTCATAACAATACTTTCTCACAGGAGCCTTTCAGCACAACCAACAACCAGAAGCCCTGTTCCCTACTCAGTATCTGGCTTTCATCTCATCTCATTCTCTCTTTCTTGACAGATCATGTTATAACCTATGATCACAGAAAGTCCTGATCCTCACGTTTCTCTGCTGTTGCCTGTGGGCTCCTCCAGAGCCGTGAAGAAGGGGAACTTCAGTCCCAACCTGAGAAGACTGGGTGAGAAGTGCCTATGACATCTTGGGAAACAGCCACACCTTCAGAGCTAGTTTCAGTTAATATTCATGTTTAGCAATTATGAAGGACTGCAGTAATATTCTCCATTCAGCAGTGATCCATAGGAGCAACTCTACCTTCCATCTTTGGCATTAGGTTAGAGAAAGTTTCATTAATGTGTTGGGGGTACATTAACTTGAGCCACTGTAAACAAGGGGACAATCAAGGTACCGGGGGTGACCAAGATTGGCCCCAGGCAATTCTTTGCCTCAGATGGAAGATGTCCGCTGGTGCCTCACACGTTTAGATAAGTGGAGTGACTTATCCCTCAGAGAGTAACAAGTCTCTTCGTTCCCTTCTTGGCCAAGATATCTGTGCTGCTGCAATGCTTGGCAGCGTGTGGACAACCCATGCCCACTACAGAGTAAACAGTCTGGGCTGTAACTTACACGGTCCTGTTGTCTAGCTTTACCAAGACCTCTTGCTGGGTGTTCAGCGTGGCTGTTTCCTGCCTGGCTCATTATTAGAGCCCCCTTCCCTCTATCCCAATTCTGTGCTGCCTTATGAAACTCAGGCTAGCCCCATATCGTCTGCCAGGTCTTGCTCTTTCCTCCTGTACGTACGGTCCTCACTCATTTACCTTTAAATGCCAAGGGAGTGGACAAGGTTCTAGCAGACAAGCTCTGTGTGACTGTGGGCAAGTCCATGAGGCCTAACTCCTTAAGAGAAATTAGGAGGAGAAATTAGTTCACTGCAAGGAGGCCTGTCTGATTCAAATGGCTCCTTCCATTTTCAAGGATGACTTAGACGCTTAGCCTACATCCTGGTGGCTTTCACTGGAGTTTTGGATTTTAACTATCCACATTCTCTGATTTAGTGGGATTTAGTCAGCTGGGTCCCGTGAGCCTTGTGATGCTGAACGTGGCACGTATGAACAGCCTTGGAAACCACACCTTCTCCTTCTACAGCTCCACTGAGCTGTAACATGTGGTGATCTCCCAGCCCTGTTGTTAAGGGATCGGGAAGGTACATTCATGAAAATCAGTGAGGTGCCTCAGTCTCTGCAATGAAAAGGCTTGGAAATGCTTGTCTCCCAGTCACTGAAACACTTGCACCTCCCCTGTGAAGGGTAATTCAGTGCAATAAAGGGCTGCAATGTTAGTCTCGAGACAAAACCACCACCAGCCAGCCGCCTTCTTTGCCCCTGCTGTTTGAGCCTTCAAGGACACCACACTGTCACATCATCGTTTTCCACCCCAGCCTCCTTCTTGGCTCCCCACACTACTGTCTGCAACTCCTTTGAAGAAAAGAACCTTACTGTCTCTCATAAATCTCCCATCTCCCTAGTAAGCTGGGCCCGCAGCAAGCACTTCTGAGGTATCTGTTACTACAGTCGAGCAGTGTTGTTGTGAGGGAATAGTGAGGGTAGAAAGAACCACTCCAAAATTAAAATGGGCTCTGGCTTGGCTAGAGGTGGAAAAGACTCTCCCTGCCCTGAGCCCTGCAGCCCATCGCCTAGTTATGCAGCTCTGTCTGTACCCTGTTGGCTGTTTGGCTTCTGTGTCCCCTGGAAGCAGACTTGCTATTGCATCCTGGGAGCCACAACCAGGCTGCTTCAGTAACTCATCTTTCCTTCCGTTCACAGGTCTGCGCATGGTGACTCGACCCATGTGAGAGCTCTCTAATGTGAGTACCCAGCAGCACACTTTGCTGTCTGTGGTCTGTGGACGTTGACTGGCATCTAAGCAACACCCCAGCTCCCTCCTCTCCCCCTAGACACCAGTGTCTTAGAGCCTCCATGTACATTTGCTATGACATACATCAGTGTTGATGAGAGACAGGAACACTGCCGCGTGGTCTTGAGCTGCCAAAATAATCAGCTCTATGCACAACATGGCTTAAAGGATTTTTCAGTTAGCAGCATGCATCCACTAAAGAACTTAGACACTGAGATTTTTTCTGGGGACTTCCACACTCTAGACTCCTGCCATGCAGGCAAGGCACCTTCGGCCAATTCTGTGGAACGCCGGATGTATCGGAGCGTTGAGAACCTTCACTGGGCAACAGTAGCTGACTCTGGGCTGTATTCTCACTGCCGGAGCCTGGATAATGAGATCATTTTCCACTATAAAGGCACCAGACATTGGTCAGAAGGCTGTGTGGATGCAACCCCGGTACAGAGCACATCAGATTCTTTGAGGAAGTTTTCTCTTTGTGCTAAGCAGACATCGCGATCGGCACAGAATGTGCTCCTGCCTCCCTTTGCCAAAGTGCCTCAGTGGCTCTTCCCTTCTGCAGAGGAAAGAGCCCTCCACAGGGATGCCAAAAAAGAACTGAAGGAGAAGCTGAGGCTGCACAGCACCAAGGTGGCAGAGCCCAGCAAGCCAGTGCACCCACAGGCAGCCCTGACTGACCTGACGGCCCGGGAGTTCTTTGAATGCCAGATGTGCCGGCAGAACAAAAACGGATGTGCTGTCAACTGCTGCACAGTGTTAGTGGAACACGCTGCTCTCAGGCATGGCCTCACAGGGAGGCAGAGACTGTGTTTTGCACACAAAATCACCAGTCCAGAAGACATCAAGCAGGAGGCTCAGAGAAGGCTTCAGCTTCGAAGGCAGAACAGTTCCCCCAGTTTGCCCCTTCAAGACACTGGGAAAAGCCATGAGGTAGCCAAATCCAGAACAGCAGAATCCTTAGAACAATGCAATGGAGAAACGGATGTCAAAGCGACACTGGGGCGGAGTCAGAAAGGCCACTGCAGAGGCAGGCTTTACATCCCCACCTTCGAGGAATTCAAGCAAATGAGAAGTAATGAGGCAAATTCATCTACCGGCAGCAGCGGGACAGCAAAGTGCTCAAATAAGGCACTTCTTACAAACAAGACCCTGGAGGTGGAGAACAATAAGAAGATCTGTCCAGAAGCTCTGGAGACCAAAGCTGTGAATGAAACCACTGCCACCGCAGAGGAGGATGATGATGTGTTCCATGAAAACCACATCTCTACTGGCTTTTCTCATTACCTAGCCACATCAGATGGTTTTGGGATGAGCAGCCTTGAGCTGAAGGAGAGGACCTACCAGATCTCCAGCCCGGATAGGTCCCCAGTCCCCATTTGCTCCAGCCCAATTCCACGATCACCTTTGCAGGCAGTAGCGATCCGCAGGGCTGGGCAGGAGGTCTTCGGTGATGAGCAGCAGAAAGGAGAGACAAGACAATTGAATGATGTCCTCCACCCTACAGGGCAGTCACTGGCTTCTGAAGCCCAGTCGTCTTGCTGTTCATCGCTACTGTTAGAAGCCACAGATTTATCCAGCTATGGAGCTAAACTACAAAAAATGAAGGATGAATTCATAGGTTCAGCCCTGGAACTTATTAAGAAAAGGTAACATGATCTGTGGGGTCAACTGAAAGCAATTCCCTTGTAAAAATCTGGTCTCCTAATATGTACGTGTGACTCCTGTAGCTGAAACACTCTACAGGCAGAGCCTTTCATTTTAGAGACTCTGATATCTATGTGGATGTGTCTTTATGCTCTTGAGCTTAAACTCCATCTTTGCATGGGATTAAGCATCAAAAAGCATTTTCATCAAGACTTTGCCTCTTTATGCACCTTAATCCTGTGCAGCCAGAAGCCTATAGTAGTCCTGATGCCCCAATTTCCCACCCATTTTATTTCCATAATAAATTGTTGACAGGTTGGTGGTTTTTTGAATGTCTGTTAAAAGTAGAGAAAGCAGAGAAGTACAAAGTATTACTACAAGCCCCTAAAAAAAAGATATGGAGTCTGGTCCCGTCACCACAGGACATGAAATCGGGTGGTGAGACATGCAGGGACAAGCACTTTCCCTTACTGCCTGTAAGTAGTGAACTGGCAAACTAATGAGAGTAGGATGGCTGTGTGAGCAAGATTTCATTTTTTCTCTCTCTTTCACTATGCTCTGGAGACCAGCACAGACAATGAGTGAAAGTGCTTGCAAATATCATCCCCCTGCCAACTCAGACAGTGTAAACAGTGACTGAAAATACTTCCATAATGTCTTCCTCCCTCTTCTTCACCCAGGGTTTTCCTCTTCTCTGGGTGAGGCATTCACAAAGACTGCTTCCTCCGGCCTGGTTTTGGAAATTGCAATCCTGTTCCTGCCTTCTGAAGAAATGGTAATCCCTTTCTATACAGGCAGGTGGCCCAGCAGGAATCAATGAAGCTCTGGAAGAGGAGCTAGGAATTTGGAGCAGTTACCACTGGCTAATCATTAGATAAGGCTGATGGAAGAAGGAAGAGTAGGTGTTGGTGCAGTGGTTTCGTTCCATAAATTTGACTTTCGGGACTGACTTTTCCAAGAATTACATTTGATCTGGTTCCTGGCTGCTTCCAGCATCTACAGATGTGGTGTGTGAAATGCCAGGGCTCCAACCTTGAACACTCCATGGTATTTCTGGAATGCTAGCACTCTGGGGCTGGACTCAATTTTTAGAGGAAAGGGACTTCTATACAGGAATGAAAGTCATCTAAAGGCATTTTTTGGAGTTGAAGCTGCCCATGTAGACAGAGCCAGAATGCCAAGCAGAAATACTTCTGCAATTTTGTAATCCGAAGGGAAATGGGTGATGTCAGAGCCATAAATGCTTCCTTCAGCTGTCCAGTCCAGCCTTTGTGCTGTTATGCTAGAGCATGAAAAGCTGATGAAGAAATAGATGAGAAAGGTATGGTATGCCACCATTTTCATTGACTGGGCTATTTTTATCATTGATGTGAAATGAAATAACAGAAATAACACAAGCTGTGAGTAAGAGCATAAGAACAGCTGTCTCTGGGCAGAACAAAGGTCTGACTAGTATCCAGTGCCAGAGGTGCAGGCACAGCAACAAATACAAGAACTGGGTAGCACATATGGTATTTCTTCCTACTACTCTCCTAGCCTCCAACTACCTTCTGCTAAGGGACTTCATGATGTCAGTGTGGTTTCTGTGCTTTTAATTTCCTCAGTCATTTCAGTTTCTGTGCATGTGCCCAGTCCTCCCAGTTAGATTTGTTAAAAAATATAAGGAGGTTTTAGTAACATGAAAATGTTACTAAACTGAAAATGTTACTAAACTGGAACTCATCGGAAAACGTGAATGACAGCGATTCCATGACTAGAGAGATTGTTTTATCGGAGGAACCCTCCCTAGCCTGTTTATTTTAGACAGTAGTAGCAATTAATGGTAAAGGCTGTCATTTCTTCAGGATAGCAACAGAAAAACAGATCTGTTGGCAGTGCCAAAGAAGTAGTTAATTCCAGTCTCCTTTGGGTAGAAATTTCTCACTTTTCCATCATTTTCACCTGAGAGTGTAAACTGGTTGGAGATTCATTCATAACAACCTGATTCTCACGGCAGAGGTTTGGCTTTTTTATGTCAAATTACACTCACTGGAGTCCAAGCTACATTTTTCCTAGGTCTCAAATGAAAAGCTAGGCATTTAGTCCCATTTCCACAGGTACTGAGCTGAGCAAGAGCAAGATCAAGCCTTTGATATAGATGCTGTGATGGAGTGTCACTGAATAAGAGAGCTGAGACTGTCTTCTCTTTCTTTTGGTTTTGTGTAAGTGTTACAATTTTACAAAGCAGTTTTGTCTGGCAACGTAATTCATAGTTATTTATTTATAACTCATTTAAATGGCTTAATATTTCAGCAATGAGCATTTGTTTGATTTGCAACTTTATAATTATGCCAGCTTTAATCCCCTCATGAGTCACTGGATACCTTTAACTTAGGCTGTAATCCCGTCTCGGAAGGAGTGTTGAGATCTAGGCGGCAATCCTTTAGGCAATTTAATATATATTCCACTTTCTGAACCTATTTAAGCAGCAAAGAGCTCAGGATAAGGATAGGCAGGAACCAGGGGCTCATGTCTATGAAATGGGGTGAGAAGGTAGCAAAAAAAAACCCCTGCAAAAGCAAAAAAAAAGGACACAACTGAGGAAGAAGGATTTCTGAAAACAGTGATTGGGTTGTATTTGGGATGACACAAGGATGGTGGGTACAGATACAGCTTCCCCCAGCAAAGAACCCCAGTTCTGGAAGGAAAGTGCCAGGGCATGAAGGGATAAGAATGTTCCCATTAGCTAGAGTCAGGGAAGGCTGAGAACTGCTGGCCTAGAAGATGATACAGCTATGGAGGGTCCCATAGAGATAATGAAGGAAAGCAGATGCATTTACAGTTGTACACCACAGACCCACTACCTCTGTTGCCTCAAGATTCAGAGACAGATGATGGCCCGGAGATGTAAAAGGGCATTCAGAAAGAGCCTACCCTCCCAGTGCTGGTCTGAGGCCACCATGTGTCTTGGAGAGAATGGGAAAAATTCACATCATCCCCAACCAGAATAACTTCTGTCCCAATAAGTGGTTTGATCCTACAAGAGGAAACGTGCCAGGCACTCCAAGGGGTTCAGTAATGACTTTTGTCATTGTCTTTACATTACTATAAGGAGCAGGGGCAATAAGTCTAACATGAGGGATGGCAGTCTCTGTGCCCAGGTGACAGGATCCCCACAAGCTATGCAGTCATGCTTACAGCCATCAGTTAACTGCAGCTGGCAGAGGGTAGAGGACAAGGAAAAAGCAGTGTGCAAAATACAGCAGGATGGTGGAAGGAGAGACCATCACGCAGGGAGGCAGAGATGAGAAGATGAATAATGCAGGAGGTGTAAAATAAAAGGTGCTCTGAAACCTGGACTAAACTCAGTTTAGACCATTGTATAGGTCATCTGAGTGATACCAAAAAATAGCATGTTTAGTTCAGTTTTAAGGCTCAAATCAACAGAGATCACGGTAGACTGGAAGCTGGCATCAATGAGGGTCTGCTGACAGGTAGAACTGTACAGCTGGAGGAAGAAATTCATAGAAAAGGGAGAGGAAGGCTGAGAAAGCAGAGAGAGGAAGGAAGCAACATCTTGGCCTGGCAGGCTGTCACTAGTGGTGTGATGGGAGGGCCTTGGCTGGGCAAAGAGGAGTGAAGACTATGTCTGGCAGGTGCGAGTGTGGGGACAGTGGACTTGAAAGGCTATGATGTGAGATGTGATGAAAGAAGGGCCTGTGGGCTAGGGTCAGAGAAAAGGCAGAGAAGGACAGAGAGAAAGGGATGGCTGGTGTCCCCAAGAAGCCTGCTGATCTCCAGACATACAGTAGCAATAGCTTCCTTGAGCCCGCAGAGGAACAGGAGCCACACAGAAGGATCTGGGATCACTTTGGGCTTGAAGGTGAATGCAGATAGGCCACACTGCCCCAAAGAATAATGTAAATGCCACAAGCTATTGCCTTTCCATGCAGAGCCTTCAAATAAGCCCCATTGTAGATGCAAGCAGAAGTACTGCTGTGCAACCACCTACAAGTGGAAGAAGTCAGATAAGCCCAAGAAGCTGGGCCCTTGGCAGCAGAGCTGAGGGAGCAGAAGGGTGGCTTAAAGCTGGCTTGTGTCCCCCAGTCCTTCTGCAGCTCTGTATGAGAGCAGAAGGGGCTGCTCAAGTAGGCATTGATGGAGAACCACTCATGACAGCCCAGATCTCTGCTTGCAGGTAGGAAGGGGACAATATTCCTTTTTCTTGGCCATGTGCCCCTCTCCCTCCTGAGCCGGGGCGAGGCAAAGGATAAAGCAGCAGCCCTAAGTTTTGGTTCTACAAAACTGTCGTGTCCTCCTTGTTTTCCCTGCATCCTCCTGATCATGCTGGCTGGTAGGCAACTACTCTGCGGTGCCAGTGCTAACCTGCACATGGCACGGCCACTATATCGTGCTAGAGACATTTAATCACAGCTAGAAGTAGAGTAGTCCAACCAGGACTGAACAAATCTCTGTTCACCCAGCATGGGCTCTGCCATCGTTGCCCTTCTTACCTCTAACTGACCAGCCATGGAGGAGGTTTAATTTCTCACATAAAATGATGTCACTCTTCCTTAACTCAGCTCTCTGGACGGTATTGGTTCTTATTTCCCACTTCAGGTCACGTCTGGAGATTTTTTTTTTAAAATATCCCTATGGCTTATGGAAACCATGGTAACCAATGGCACATGGTCCCCAGATCTTACCAGTGGAAAGCTGCTGTCAGCTTCACTTACAGGAGCAGTAATACTCCAGAGCACTTTCCGTGTTTCAGTGGGTGATCTTGAAGCACTGTAAAAATGATGAATGAAAGCTCAGCTTCTCCCTGAGAGCATGGGCTGTATGGTAGGAGGTGGTGTGATCATGAAGAAAAGATAATGTTCCAGTTCTGAGTTCTTCTACTGACCTTGGATACATCCCATTGCCTCTCCATGTCTCAGCATGTTCCCTTCTTTTTGCATATTTCAGCCAGAAACTGTTTGGGCAGGAGTGGCTTTGCTGACAGTGGCAGAGCCCCTTCAAGAGCTTTCTTGCT